AGACTCAGCTTCCTATCCACCTAATTGGGCTCCGCCCCACCCTCCCACGGGCTCACTGCTCCGCCTCCAGATTCAGCACCCCGCCCCCCCCAGCCAGGCCCCGCGCGTCCCCAGGCTCAGCGTTCCACCCCTCCCAGACAGGCCCAGACCCCCTCCTTGAGGCTCCCACTTGCAGGGCGTGAGGTCCTCCTGGGCAAGGTAGGCTGGAGGTGCGGGCGCAGTTATGCAGTTGACAAAGCTGCACAGTAGGCTGTGTGTTCCTACTGGTACAGGAGACAGGAGACGCATTAGGTCCGAGGTGAAGGCGAGGAGGAAAGCCTGCAGGGTCAGACGGACTCCAAGGCCCAATCTCCCAACTACCCCGACCTGGGTCCAAACCCATTCCCGTGGGCAGGATGAGCCTGCGCCCAGAATCCTAGAACTCTACCTCTTATTTCCCTACCTCTAACCCTGGAATTCAGCCTCCATTTCCCTATTCCTAAGCCACCTTTCTGGGTCTCTGATCTCTATTTCCCCCTCTGACCCTGTATGCCCCTCCTTTGCCTCATGCTCACATTCACAATGACCAGAAGGTGGGCCATGGCCTCAAGCAGAGGCAGCCAGATTCCAATGCCCTGTGCCCGCTCAGCCACTGGCCTCCAAAACTCGTACAGGAACTTGTGGGTCCAGTCGGATCTCTACCCAGTTGTTGCTGAGCAAAGCAAGCAAGGGTGCCAGAGCAAGGGCCCAAAGCCCCCTCACCATGACGAGGATGGCTGCAGAGCTGGTGTGTAGGTGAGGAAGGCAATGTGGGAAGTAGGACTCCTTCAAGCCTGTCACTGGGTTCTGGGCCATCTGTGCGCCCAGAGTGGCCAATGCTGGACATGCACACTCCTGTTCAAAGAGGCAACAGATGTGCCTCCTGGGGCCCAAGAGACTGGGTGTCACAACCCTGGGGTTGGGGGAGCCCCCCATCTTTTTCTGCCTGTGCAGGGAGCTCTGGAAATACAGGAATGAGGTCCACATCATTTTTGTTTCTGCAGGGCCTTTCGCCCCAAGGTCCTGGCTAAAAGCCTGTGGATGGATGCATGCATGCATGCATAGGTAGGAAGGTAAACAGAAATGTAAACAACAAATGGATGCACTTCTGGGAGAGGGCTGGATGGGCTGATGGATGGGTGGGCAGTAGATGGACAGATGGGTGGGTAAACTGGACAGGCAGACAATTGGCAAATCTCGATAAGTGGGTGCACAAGTGGGTGAGTAAAAGGGCAGATGGGTGGATAGATGGATGGATGGCTAGGTGGATGGATGACAGACATTAGGATGGATGAATAGATAATGGATAATGGGTAATGTACTAGTTCACTCAATAACTGTTAACTGACTGGGGCACCTCGGTGGCTCAGATGGTTGAGCGTCCAACTCTTGGTTTTGGCTCAGGTCGTGATATTGGGGTCATGAGATCGAGCCCCACGTCAGGCTCTACACTCAGCGGAGAGTCTGCTTGAGATTCTCTCTCTTTGTCTGCCCCTCTCCCTCTCTAAAATAAATCTTTAAAAAAATAACTGTTAACTGCGGGCGCCTGGGTGGCTCAGTTGGGTTAAGCGACTGCCTTCAGCTCAGGTCATGATCCTGGAGTCCCTGGATCGAATCCTGCATCGGGCTCCCTGCTCGGCAGGGAGTCTGCTTCTCCCTCTGACCCTCCTCCCTCTCATGCTCTCTGTCTCTCATTCTCTCTCTCTCAAA